TCGACAAATTAGTTGAGCATGCGATATTTACTCAAACTCGAGAGTATGTCGTGTAGAAGCCGAAACAGCAGACATGTACAAGGAGGCTCGCATGCGCCATTGAGGAACTAGAAAGATGTGCTTTTGGAAAGAAATATTTCCTTTAGCGATGTAATGACTGATGACTTATAGCGAAAGTGTTGAAAAGCTGAGGATACGTCGCGCAATCACAAACCAGACCTGTCTATGTAAGTGGTTCAAAGTGATGATTTCAACAAGCACAGTAATCTGTTCTGAAAAATCTGAATTCTCGATTTGAGTGACGCACAACAGTACTTTACGGTTGTCATTAATAATTGTCAACGGTAACACAAGGTTAACTGATTATTTACTCATTCAGCCCTGGTGAATGCCGGCGTTTGAAATGAAGCCCGTCTTACATTAGTAAAAACCCTTTGCGTTACGTTTCGGTCTCCAAACCATGAATGAAGAAAAGAGTCCATTGTGAAATTATGGACCAACAATCGAAATAGTGTTCAATAAGATTTTGTAAGTACTCTATATCCATTTATAGAAGGAATTTATTGCATGTTAATGCTAACCGGTGTGCGTGATGCGTCAAGTTGACAGGTGTTGATTGATTGATTGTAATGATTCACACGTGAGAAGAACGAAAGACATGGTCGAGACTTGATATATGATGAAAGGAATAGAGGGAAGAAGTGATTATTTGTGTCACATAGGTATTGAAGATCTGAAAATCAGATGTGGTTATATGGCTAGCTGAACTTGTACATGCACGTCATTTTCCTGAACAGAGGATAATGCTTGTAATTAACATATACGCAGTGAAGAACAGCCAATCGCTGACCATGATAATAGCAAATCACAGATTACAATATGATAATGATTGATAGGCTAGTAGGATGGCTTACAGAGGGAAGTACGGTGGTGAGTTTTTACCCTAATTGAAACAACTTCAAAGCATCCTTGGATATTATTGCTCGTTTCAGAAAAGTTCATATCAAAGCACTGATCGATATCCTCCTGAACATTTTGAAGAACGTGTTAATTGAGTGCAAACTATCGGAATGCATATTTAGAGAGTACAACGTCG